CAGCCCAGAGGTTGTTTCAGGGTTCAATTTGTGAGTTAGCCGTGCCCTGACTTAAATCAACGCCCAGAGGTTGTTTTAGGGTTCAATTTGTGAGTTGATCAGCCAAGAGACTGATTCGGTTATTATTTAAATTTGAATTATATCATATTTATTATTGTTATTATAAATATAACTGGCCATGCATTTTTCGTTGTTTACAAGTCTTCACTAATATTTACTTCGACGTTAGAGTATGAATCGAGAGAGTCGACCACCCCTCCCTGAGATATATGCTAATACAGCCATCAAATAAACCAATAAAATTGAAAATAATCTACACGAGCCTTAGAGTCTGACTGCGCTACGATATTCAAGATTCGTTTTTAATCCCGAAAATGACAGCATCAAAAAATCAATAACCAAAAAGTGGTGAGACGATGGGCGGAAGAATATATCCCCATTAAATTGTTGAATTATTATTATTATTTTTTGAATGCGGAAGCCATTTAGCTGCTGTATCTTGGAAAGCCATTTAAGTGCGTACATTTGAAAGCCGTTGAAGTGTTGCACGTATGTAAAAAGACATTCGTATGGTATACGTTATGAAGCCAATAAACTGGTTCACGTGTAAGAAGCCATTAAAAGGTTGCAATTCATAAAGCCAAGGAACTGCTTCGCGTATAGAAAGCCATTTAAATGTTGTACGTTATATAAAGCCAATGAACTGCTTCGTGTGTAAAAAGCCCTTTCGAAGTCGGACGTTACAAACCAATTGAACTACTTCACGTGTAAAAAGCCATTTATCTGGCATGTATTTCAAGATTATCTTAACTGGGAAAAGCTTGAAAACCATTAATTTAGAACATACACGCTAGAAAGATCTAGAAAACCATTTCACTGGTACATACTTGAAAACCATCTAACTGCTATCTAATAAAAAATCTACGATACAAAACTCTGAATGCGCTGGTCGAAACAAGATATGTAAATATTTAAAAAATATAAAGAATCCACAATTAATTAAAGTATTTGAAATGTAAAGTATTGTGTATTTTACTATTATGAATAAAATGGAATAGTTCAATTATTTTTATTTTTCGTGCATTTAGACAGCGCGTAATTGGATTTTCTGAAGTGGGAGTGAACTTGTGTAAAACAAATAAGCCAACAGGTCACGTAATTCAAGTTCTGACATTAAAGCGCGCAGTCATGGATCATCTGTAGTGCGTGAGATATCAGTCATAAATTTACTTATATACACCGTTCTCATAATGACTGACAAGTGCTAGAAAATCACCCAGTCATTAGTTTATAATAAAAGATATAAAAGCAAATGAAATGTGTTCATAGAAGAAAAGTATTGAATTTGAGCTGTTTGGACCTGAATTCGCGCTAACCACCTTTATTTTGAACGAGCAGCCTTTCTCAGCCTTGCAAGATAACTGGTTGGCATCGTTTTCGTGCACGAATCGGTATTTCTGTCGCCTGCAACAACATTACTGAGCGCTATAAAAGCAACAACGACGACAACAACAAAACGAAAGTAACAAGATTATTATGAAAAAGAGCTCAGAACTTGAAATATTGAATCTTGATGAAAAAGAGAACGACACCGAAAGAGTAGCGAGTATAATGAGAAGGAAAAACAAAAGGGAAGGAATGAAAGAAATGACAATCCAAATCGAAAAGAAAATTCGAAAAGTTTGAATTGAAAAAAAGAAAGCGAGTAATAAAAATAAAAAAATAAATAAAAAATAAAAAAATAAAAAAAATAAATAAAAATATAAAAAAAAAAAAAAAAAAAAAAAGAAAAAAAAAAAAAAAAAAAAAAAAAAAAAAAAAAAAAAAAAAAAAAAAAGGAAAAGAAAAAATGGAAAAAAGATATGCTCTCGGTGTTTAAGGAATCCTGAATATCATATATTGATGGCTTGCGAGCATTCTCAAGAAAGTCAAAAGACAAACATGGCGGCCATTGTGGTGCCAAAGCTCCTCGAGAGTCCACATTGACGTAACGTGCAATCGAAGAAGTCAAACTTCTATATTTTTTATCCTTTCTCAAAGTGTTAATCAGTTTAATCATAGTAGATTGATGTATCGGATTAGACGATATTCCTTTCGTTCCTCTGAAATATATCAAACAAATAAGAGAAAAAACGAATAAAAGAAAGAAAGAACAAAGAAAGAACAAAGAAAGAAAAGTGCTTGTCTAGTTGAAAATTAAACACCAATACTACGTAATTGATGGTTTTCACGTCGGCCATGTTGGAGGACTTTAACAAAAGAATTGTCAATGAATTCTTTTGTTATATCCTCCAGCATGACCGCCGTGTCTTTTGTTATTTAATTCTCTTGGAAATGGTTGAAAACCATCAATATATACCGACTTTTATGACCTGAGAACTTTCGCTTTATCGTAACTACTCCTCAGAAAAAGCACTTCAATATTACTTACGGTAATGAACTCCATATCAGAGCAAGAATAAGAAATAATAATCTAATGTTAGATGAGATTCAAGTATCCTGTCAATAGGCTTAAGGACTTAATCTATAGATAATGTTAAAACGACGAGGACTAGTTCACATGGTAACCTAGCAACGCTTCTTCTTCAAGTAGATAGTAAATGAGGGTTCTGCGCCGCTATCTGTTCCGAATCCACGGATTTTGAATTCACTCTGTTCTGGATCTTGGATCTAGGATCCGTCGGAATCAGTGAAAACAAACGTGGTCTCAAGATCCGAACGGTTTCCGACGGATGAAAGTCGATCCACTGATTCCGACGGAGCCACTGATCCAAGATCCGGAACAGAGTGGATTCAAAGCAGATACTGAAGATGTTATATGATATTTTCACCTGTGATGTATTTGCTACGATAGGTAGAACATGTTAGTTTAACCTGGTTTTGACTTCTGAAAGACTTTATAATTTACCGCGATGAATCGAACTACGATTTGCTATGCAAAACAAAGAAAAGTATTCTGTATCTATGCAAGAGAACGATAGATAAAACATGTTGGTTTAGCCTGGTTCTGGCTTCTAAAAGACTCTCGTCATAATTTACCGCAGTGACTCGAGCTGTATTTTACTATACAAAGTAAAGAAAAGCATTCCATATTTACACCAAAAGAGATGTATTGTCTACGATAAGTAAAACAAGTTGGTTTAGCCTGGCTTTGGCTTCTAAAAGATGCAATTTGCTATATGCATTATTAATTTTTCCATAATAATTTCAACATGGCAACCATGTTTTCTGAGTATGCCCGGAAGCTGGGTTAAATATAACATCAAGAATTTCATGCAGATTTAACATTATCATATATATATTATTTTTCTTATTTTTTATATTTCTTATTTTTTATATTTCATATTTTTTTAATTAAAAATATTTTTAACCTAATTTTTTGTTTTTGATTCTCTTGCGAATGATTGCAAGACGTTGACGAATAAATCATTTGAGCAGAATCAAGAACTAACT